TTGTGGTAGTGCATTTGTTGTTCCATTCCTGTATCACCCTTCCACTGCTTTGATCTTTTGGACTGTAGCATCTTGTAAGACCGAACTATGGCCACCAGTGAAGAAATGTTAAAATATCAGGAATTCAATCTCCTCCAGAAGGTGGCCAAAGTTAAGTTTCTGGTGTCTTGCTTTTTACTTTGCAGTCAAGTCAGTTCTTAAAGCTTTCCTCCTGCATCTGGCTTGAAAGAACTGCTCTTCCTGCTCACTGAGGATGCTACACAAACACTTCTCTGCATTAGCACTGAGAAAGGGAAGGGCTGTTTCCATCAGCGTCTGTGGCAACTTAAAACACTTACCAACCTAAAGCCAGAGTACTGTAGGAAAGGGAAAGGAAAAATATATCAACACTAACTTGGTGAAATGAATCCCTAAAAAAAGATTTACTGCTGTCCCAACAGCTCCCTGCATGCAGGCCAGGAAAATGCCACAAGGTTCTCCATAAGGAGGGAATGCCTACATATAAAGAGATCTATTTACTGCATGTTTCCTGTTCAGATGCTCGGCTGAGGAAAGAAGGGTGCAGGGAAAATTGCTGCACAGCTTGCTCTTCACTTACCTGTAATGTGGCCATTGTGTTCCTTCAGCTCGTGAGCTTTTACCCACTGGCTCCCATTCTTCTTGTAAATGTGGACTTCATGATTATTAGGGCTAATGGCAATTTCTTGAAGAAGAAAAGAAACAGTCCCTTAGTACAGAAAGCTTCTTTAATACCCTTTTACTTGGCAGAACTTCCCAGTCTAAAGCTTGTACTCTTAACTTTCAGAGCATTACATAGGTTTTGTAAACCAAGGGCTACCATCCCTGCAGGGTAATATCAAAAAATGATGGCCATAACATGATTGTGAGTACACTGAACAGAAAGACAGCACAGCTGGAATGTAACAATCCAGCTGCAGTAGAAGACTATATAAAGACTATATAAAAATAGAAGACTATATAAAAAGAAAAGGCTGGGCTTGGGGCAGGGAAATAAAAGGTTAAAGAGTATGAGAAGGACATGTTCTGATGGGGTACAGACCAAGAGGCGAAACTTTCTGGGACCCCACTAAGACTGGATTTGCTTAAATGTCCAAGTTTCAAAAAAAGGGTCTCAAATCCAAACAGATTTAGGACTGCAGCATGCTTCTTGGGTTCTAAGTGTAGTGCTGTGTATTTGACCACATCCTCCTTAAACGTGGTCCAGAACACTTCAGGGTGAACCAATTGACAGCACAGAGAAAAGAGCAGCTGAGAAAGTAAATGAAAACATCACTTACGAGTACGGTCTCTGTTCCATGCATGGCAGGTGATTGGCTCCAATAAGAACTGATGTAGAGACATTCCGAGTTAAAGATATTCCTATGTTGGAAAAGTTGGGGGGGGGAGAAAACTGAAAGGTGTGAAAATGACAACAAAACACTTCAAAGTTCAGTGGTTGTTAAAACAAATCAGTCCTCAACATCTACAAAGGCTGTTCCAGCTCAGCATGACAATTTATTCAGACAACGACAGATACTCAGCAGGTTATGACCTTTCCCCCTGTGCCCCAACATCTTTGGTAGGTCAATGAATTTTGACTGTCCTGCTTAGCTACAGCTAATTGCAATTGCTCTAAAAGGTTTATGCTCTTGCTTCTTACTGTATCCTCATATGAGGAAACACTGTTATGAAATCTAACACCTAACACTTTAACTGTGGATTTAGAATACTTAAACAAGAAACTTAGTGACAGCTCAATGAATTGATTTGAAATTCTGGTGTGTATTGAGGCTTGCTGCACTACAATGAAATTTTTTTTTTTTTTCCATCTATCAGGAGGCTAAACTGATGTGCACAGATATGTAACTGTAATCTGCTGATGTATCATTTGATGAAGCCGTTTGTAAGTATCCTAGGGAAAAACCACTAACATCAGTAATGAACTAAGTACTAATTTCTTCAAGTTAATCCTAACACTTACCTGCTTTATGGCTTTCATGCTTGTGAGATTCAAACAGTGGAAGAACAAACTGAGTTCTTTGGGTTTGTGAATACTTTTTTTACAAGGCTAGACACTGAGTTTTTCTTCTAACTTACTGCTGAACATTTGCAGGTGATTGAAAGCTCTTTAAAATATCAGATCATATCTCTGTGTCCTGTGTTAATCAAGGACAGTATAAATGGATGGCAGGTAGCACTGTAACAACTCAAGGTCACCTGTAAGAGCTGAAATGTGCACAGCTCAGCACACACCACTGGGATTTCTTCATTTCTTCCTCCTTTCACGTATTCCACATGTTTTGTAGCAATTTATCCTCGGCTGATAGCAGTGTCTGCCTGCCCCTCCACGTACATCTAACAAGCACCATCTCTGTGATGTCACTCCAAGACATCCACACCCATTGCAGCCTGAAATTACAACATAGCCAAGTATGGCCATGTTAGCAGAGGGTGGAGACTTCAGGACAAGGTAGGAATTTGGAAGCAAACAGGAAATGAATGGCGGTCCCACAGAAACTCAGGAGTGAATGAGAGCTGAGTAACCCCTTTCAGAGCTGAGCAACTGTAGCAGCCCACCAGTTTAAGAAGTATCTCTCCTCAGGACTCTGTGCATGATCCAGTACTTCACCAATGCAAATAATTGGACAGATTTTTTTCTTTAAAAAATCAAGCCCTGTTGTTATAAAGAGACACGATTTGCAGTTTCATTGAATGTACTTAAAATAGGAACTCTGGCTAAATGAGCTTTAAGTCCAGTTCATAATTTTAACTGCCATGATTTCCTTAGTTCTAGTAATCTTATCCTAAAGATCAAATAAAGCCACTACATGCATGCAGCCCTAAGAAAAAAACAACTACTTATTTTTACTGATGTGAGAACATTGACACAATCCAAGTTACCTTTGACCTTGGACAGCTATGGTTTGAGATTCCATGCGTTAACATAAGCAAAACATGACTGCAAATTGCTTTTTCCACAGTCTTGCTTTAGTGCATGCCAACAGTTCAGTAGCAGTGCATTTCCATATACAGGAAAAGCTGAAGAGCTCTACTACCAACAGGGAACGCTCAGCCTTTTTGACTCTTTCCAAATAAAATGTGAAACTATCCAATCTCTGCTGCCCAAGGAACGCAGCTATTTCCCAACACTTTCTAACACAGTCCTCATGCTCTCTCCACAGGTTGGCACTCTGCAAAGCACTGCTGTCCCATCCTAACAACTCCTAGTTCAGAGATTTTTGCTCACTAACCTACAGGCTGTTCCCAAAGCTTGCATCTGCACAAGGGATGTGATGTGTTCTCATCTGCTGAGCTTCTCAAGCGCCACAACTGGCAGCAAGCAGCTGGCTTGGGTTTGGTAACGCTCATTAAGAAACAAGTGATGACAATCTCAAAAAGCACAAATATTTCTCATCTGATCATTGCAATGTTATTTCCTTTGGGGAGATAAATACTGTTTGTAAGATTTTTATTAAGATTTATTCCTTCTCAGAGACCAGCTGAATGACTTGATACAACCACTGCATCGTAACCCGTCAGTGTTCTCCTGTCTGCCAACCTCAGCACTTCACATAGGAAAGGCACTGTTGTGATAACTGTCACAGAATCACAGAATGGCCAGGGTTGGAAGGGACCTCAAGGCTCATGAATCTCCAACCCCCTGCCACATGCAGGGCCACCAACCTCCACATTCAGAACCCAGGGCCCCATCCAACCTGGCCTTGAACACCTCCAGGGATGGGGCATCCACAGTCTCTCTGGGCAGCTGCTCCAGCACCTCACCACTCTCTCTGTAAAGAATTTTCCCCTGACATCCAACCTAAATCTGCCTTCCTCAACTTCAAACCATTTCCCCTTGTCCTGCAGTTATCAACCCTTTCAAAGAGTTGATTCCCCTCCTGTTTGTAGGCTCCCTTTAGGTACTGAAAGCTGCAATGAGGTCACCCCACAGCCTTCTTTTCTCCAGGCTGAACAAGCACAGCTCCCTCAGCCTGTCCTCATAGGGGAGGTCTCCAGCCTCCTGATCATCTTCGTGGCTCTTCCCTGAACCCTCTCTTGGCTCTTTCCTTTATTTTTCTTTCAAATGCAAACTAACTGTCCTCGAGCTTTGAAATACAACTTAAGGGCTGGGTGAAAAAAGGACTCCAGCGCGCTCAGCCCGAGCTTTCAGAGCACATCTACGGCAAACACCCCTGAGCTGCTGTCACCTCTCGAGAAGCACGAGGCCACCCAGGATGAACAGCGAGGAGATGCGTCCGAATCAGAGACAGCGAGTGAGGGCGAGAGCCGCCGTTAATCTCTGCCTATCTCCACACCCCGTGGAGCAGCCGGCTGAGCGCCGCCTCCCATCGCTGTCATCCCCTCCGGACCCCCAGCGCTCCGTTCCGTCGGGGCGGCGGCAGCTCGGCACGAAGCGGGCGGTGCCGGCCGGCCCGCACAGGTGAGCGCTGCCTGAAGGACGGAGCCGCCCCGCCCGCTGAGCCGAGCGCAGGGCCGGGCGAGGGGCCCGCAGGCCGCGGTCGAGAGCCGGGGAGCCGCCATCCCTTCAGCACCTGGGCCTGCGGGCGGGCGGACGGCCGCTCCTCGGGGCCGGGACTCACCTGAGGCGGCGGGGGCGGAGCGGGGCTCGCGGACTCTGGGCAGTCGACGCGACTCCGCTCCGGGCGGCGGCGGCGGCGGCGGAGGGGAGGGGTGGGGGGGGCGGCCCGGCACTGACAAGGGAGCCAGGAAACGCGCACTGCGCCTGCGCGCCGCCCGCCGGCCAGCCTCCCGCCGCGGGTTGCGCATGCGCCGTGCTGCGGGGGCGGGAGGACGCTCTGCGCCTGCGCGGAAGGAGGGAGGGCGGGAGGGAGGAATGTGGGGTGCGTGCGCGCCGTGCCCGCGCCTCACACAAAGGAGGCGGTTGGGCGGGAGGCGCGTGCGCGGTGAGGGGTTGGCGCAGTCACGTGGTGCCGGGGTGTTGGGCGTGGGAGAGCGTCGTGTGTGCGGGGCTTCGAGGGTGTGCGAGGGGAAGCGATGGCACCCGCTGTGGCTCAGGGGCAGCTGTGGAGGAGCTGTTGCTGAGCGTGCTGAGCCATGCTGGCCTTAGGGGGTGTTCAGATGGGGGCTGTAAGGCAGGAGCTGCAGTCTGTTGGCTGAGTGAAGGGCTTTCCTGAGCAGCACTGGGCACTGCCCCTTCCCTCCTGCTGCGTGGGGAGCCTGGCCCTGCTCCTAATCCCTGTGAGGACCTCTTGGGGTCTTGTGCTTTGACTCCTGTAACACTCAGCTTATAAACCTTACTGGCCGCGAGGCTTTGTGAGCTGAAGCATGCCAAGTCAGGCACGTGTCTCGTGAGGAGGTGAGCTCTGAGGTATGGCTCTGCTGCTCCTCGTTGTGAGTTTAATTTCTGGTCTGAAAAAAATCTGTCTGTAAGCAACTGCAGGGGAACAAGGTGAGCTGTGTCCAGGATGGCTTTGTAGTGAATGAATGGAGCCAGTCTCGTCTCTATCTCTGGCGGTGTAACAGCTTGCAGATAAGGATAAGGCAACGTGTGTCATGTACCTTGATTTTTTTAGTGGAGCTTCTGATGTTGGCTTGCAGGATTTTCTAATAATAAACTGAAAAACCAGTCTAGGTACTGCTTTAGCAGGGTTGCAGATCTAGTTGTGGAAAAATGTACTTGGTATCAGCACTTGTCTGGGGAACTACCTTCAGTCCATTACTCATCCACAGTGAAACAGGCCTTGTAATTACTGTGTTTGAAGATGAGGTCAAGTTTGAGCTTGTATGAATGCACTGCCAGAGAACTGGAATGCAAAACGGGGAGCTCTATGGATAAAAGTAACAGTTGTAGTACTGTATATTTCATAATTGTGGAGTTGATTGTATTGCAGGAAAGGATGGAGGGGCTGCTGTGGGCTGTAAGCTGAATGAGTATCAACGGCTTGCTGTTGGAGAGGTGAATGCCATGAAGGTCTCTGTGAGTAAGAAAACTGCTAATAAGGCACAGGCGTCCTGCTATGCTGAGCCCAGTGTGTCCAGTACTGGGCTCCACGTGAGAGAAATTTGTATGATTTAGAGAAAGAGGTAGAAGTAATGATCAGTCTTTGAACACATGACTTTTACAGAGCCAGAGAGAACAGAAAGCCGCAGACGTGGTTAGTCTTCAAATAGATGAAAGGATGCTGCCGTGAAGAAAGGGACAGTTTGTTCTCTCGTGTCCACTGGGGGTAGGGTGAGGAGCCATAAGCTAAAATAACAGCAAGGCAGATGTAGGTTACAGTGAAAAAATGTTCCGTGATTCTTCTGAACCAGTCGAGCAGTGTTGGACTGACTGGGCAAGGTATGGGCTGTTCTTAGAGGTTTTAAGAATAGATCAGACAAATATTTCTCACGGTGGGTGAAGTACAGTATAAGAGCTTGCATTCAGGAAGGAGACTTTGCTTAATGGGCTCCTAACCCAGTGTTACTGTGGTTCTGTAGCCCTGAGATATGTAATCGTTGCAGCCCTTGTTGGCTTAACAATAAAACTAGTTCAGCTGCACAGATTAAAGATGCTCAACTGGGCCAAGTGACATTACGTAACGGGAATGAAATTGCGTTTAAGCATGGCTTTATGTTTTCAAAATGATTTTCACCAGATGGGGTGAAAGTATCTAAATGAGGAGCTCTGCAGAGCTTTTAAGCATTAAAGGCTAAGGCCTCATCTTCAGCATAGCTTTCCAGAGAGTGTCCCACCTTTGTTCCTGTGGTATTGCTGATGCAATTGAACTCTGGTAATCCAGAAAGGATGCCAGTGTTTTTGAGATTTAAGGCCTTGCAAGCCAAATCAAAATGATTCTAATAAAAGTAGTTTAGGTCAGTATGACCTTAAGATATATCTGGGGGGGGGGGGGGGGAGGGAACAGAAGAGCTGGGATATTGTTTTCATCCTTTTTTTTAACAGCAAGGGCACACAGTTGGTAACAGCTACTCAAAAAGTGGGTTGCAATATATACAAACAGGTATTTGCAGATCATAGTGCTTAGTTTGAGCAGCCTTCTAGAAGTGTGTTATTCACCCCAGTATCTGAAAGCAGCAATTTCTGGCACTGAATGTTATATCGCATCTGATGCTTAACAGGGGGATGAGAAAGGCCATTTTTTCCTAATTGAATTCTCTGCCTTTCTAGACCTGCCATTTAGATCACAGTTTATCAAGATTGATTTTCATCAGGAATACTCTTGAATTATGAGGAGTGCTTTCCTTAAGGTCAAATGGAGTCACCGATGGAAATAACTGCAAATTCGGGAATTTTAAGCTTGAAAAGTCAATGTAACTAATTGTCCTGTTTTGTTTTTGTTGTGTTTTTTTCTGGGGGGGGGGCCGGAAGGGGGGTTGTTTGTTTGTTTGTTTTTTTGCAACTTAATACAATGTTATGCGTGACAACTGTTAGAACTTCACATAATGTGTGCAACTGTTGTAATACAAAATAAGAAGGAAGGCAGACTGCTTGCATCTTGATCAGACTCACTAAGTGGTCTTCTTGCATCCTGGCTTTCCAGATGATGATAAGCTCGATGCTGACTGCTTTCTGCTCCTTGTGTTGGGAGCCTCCATGCTCAAGCTGCTAGGTCTGGGGGCTGGGGCTCCAAGTGTCCACCTCTAGAGCTAAGTGTCCAGTGTGCAATGCTCAGCTGTGCCTGCCCTGCTGTTAGCCTGCCTTCCTGAGATTCTATGCTTGAATGCATTTGTTGCAGTTGTCCAAGCAGTGCTGGTGAATAACAGCAAGGTGATGGTGTTTGGATGGTGGTAGTGTTGCACAAAATCAGCTCCACTAGAAAAGAAATAGTGGCAGTGTTTATAGTGGCTTTTTCTTTTTAGGTTGACAGTGAAATTGTACACAGGTGTTTTAAACACTGTCTCATTCGAGACATTCACTAGGAGCCAGTCCTGCTATTTCCTGAGCATGTCTTCCACAACCAGCAAAATCTCACGTCCTGCAGCCTGTGCTCTGCTGCCACAGGAGCTGTGCCCACCTCCCAGGCTGTCAGTTTGCTTCTTCTGTGCTTCTCCATCATCCTGTTGCAGCACCTCCTGACGTCAGGTTTGAGCAGCATCCTGGTACACTGTTTTGCTGTCACACTGTGAACAATCTCAATATTTTTTTTTCTGTACAATAACCTTTATTAAGACTTTGCATTGCAACTATTATCAAGAGGAATTATTTTCAAGAGATAGCCCAGATCCCACCTTCTATCATAAAGTCCCAGACCTGTCAGTGCAGGTATTTCTCAAGTACTGATGGTGTCTTCTGTCACTCAAGGTGTACTTGAGAACCATACTTTCAGTTGCTGAGATCTCATACAGATAGTTCTTCCATCTGCATGTTGTTGCATGCTTTCTGTCCTCTAGTTTCTGTCCTGTGTAGCCGTCTTCGTTATCTCAAGCCTGTTAGTGCAGTTTTGCTATGTACCATGCCCCCCAGATTTGATAGGCTTTTCCTTAAGAGAGATTCTTCCTGTACAGTTGTGGTGCCCTTGAGAAGATGCCCTTATTGATCATCCCTTTTGGAAGCATTAGGGTGCTACTTACTAGCCCTTTCTGTTGGTGAAAACCCCCCTGTAGCAACCATTTGCCATTTCAGAACTTGTCTCCGTGCACAAACAGGTTTGTGGAGTACCTATGTTGAGAACACACCTGTTTTCCTCATCTCTTTTTCCACACCCTTTTCTGCTCTAGTAAGTTCATGGCAGATGGCTTCAAACACGAGCTTCAACTTCAGTAGCTGTTCCTGAGCCACTGACATGGAGGAAGAGGAGTTTGGCACTTGGGTATCTCTCCAGAAGCGAGCCCTTTGCTGGCTGAGGATTCCTGGTGTGCAGTTAGAGCTGATTTGGCCATTCCACCCCTTTCTTCTGTCATCTAGTTTGTGTATGGTCTTCCTGTACTTGGACAGGCTTTGGTCATCCTCCTATTCCTGGACCAGCAAATATTTAACAAGAGAAATGTTTGCGCTGGAAAAAAGTGTCTTAGGATATGTCTGATGTGATCCTTCAGCAGATCAACAAGATACAGTTATGTGATGAAGCAATGAGCAGGAGATATAAACAGCTGCTTCAATTCTCAATGTTTTCAGTTCTGCAGCTTCTCCAGCCGTTCTAGTTCTGCATGCTGGTTGGTTTTGTTGTCATCTTTTATGGAAGATCACCTCCTTTAGAGGCTTCTTGTGCTGACTGAAAATTCTGCAGAAGAGCATCGTGTTTCTATTTGGAGGATAGCTCTGTATCCATTACTTAATCTGAAAAGGAACAGCAGGATACACAATCACAGAAGGGATTTGAAATGTTGATGTGAGGGTAAGAAAAAGAAATAGGAAGATGGTATCTACCCCAGGAGTTTGGAGATGCTCGTGCTCTTGAGTTTTGTTGCAACACAAAAATAAAGGGTAAGTCCTGCCACTGCTGATAGTTCACTTTGCAAGTTCTCCTTTGTGGGTGTAGATCAGCTGCTGATACCAGTAGCTTGTTACTGCTGTATTCAAGCACCATGAGGGTTGATTGATATGTTTTGCTCAGGGTGCAGAGAGCTGAAATTCCCTTGTGCTCCAGTGGACTGGGAGCATCCTACGTGCATCTTTTCTGCCCAGTCTGGCTTTCCTCAAGTTAGTACATTTCTTTTGGTACATGTTAACTGTTATCTGAAATGGGATGTTTTCATTTATTTTTGTTGAATGTGGAAGATGAGGTGCAGGAAGGAGTTTTGTAGTTGCACAAGTCTACTAGAAAGCTCATTCCAACCAAGCACGTTTTTTCTTACCCTGGAGTTTCATGGTAGTGCTTTTTTTTATTTTTTTTGTCTTTCCAGGGCTGACTACTCAGCCTATTCAATTTTGATTTACAGATCTTTACACTTTATTTCCTTAATGTTTGCCAGGTGCGTGTTGTGGTCCTGCTCCTGACGCAGCTCTTTTGCCACGCAGGAGGCTTCTGAGGAAGGTATGAAACAGATTGACAGTGCAGCTATTTGTACAGGGTATTGAAAAGTAGGATGTGTAGACCTGGATGCTGCCCTCTGAGAAAATTTGCCTTATCTTTAATTTTTCTTTATCATTGGCTGCCTTTCTAAAGATTGGATCCAAACTGATGCAGGTAATCCCAGCTGACTTGGGCAGCGCTAGGTCAGACCATAAACCAGGTGGTGGTGTGCTTGCTTAATACTTTCGGAGTACTCAAAGGTATTATCCCTATCTGTTAAGTCAATAACTTTGTTCTAATAACATTTCAGGCTTTGATGTCCACCCTTCAGTGGAAAAATGTGACGTGGGGGCGTGCAGTGGATGGAAGGTGAAGATATTGTCTGAAGGTGAGGTAGCTTAAACAGAAAGGCAGGACACTCATCCTTACTTGGGGAGGAAATGCTACGCATTAAACCCACATCTAGCTTTGATACTTGAAGTGTCAGCTGTCAGCACAGTGCCAATGGAGCAATCTGCTCAGTACTGGCAACTTTTCTCTCCTCTGTGCCAATGACGAATGTCGTTGACTATCTAGAGAGGGAAACTAGCCTCCTCTTGTGTTGGAGACCTGGTAAGTGTGATGGGTGGAGCTGTGGGATAAGTGGAAGAAAGGATAAAGAGAGAGGAAATGGAGGAATTCCTCAGGGTGCCATCTGTCGTGTAAATTACCAAAGAGGCAGAGGGAAAGTAGATTTCTTCTTCTGTGGATTAATTTTGCCAGACTGCAATCGGTGAGCTAACAAGCATGCTGCTTTTCAGGACTGCAAAAAGCAAAGCAAGTGTTACACGTTATTAACAGTGTTCTTCCAATAGATGCAGGAGGGAAATGCTGGAAGCCTTAGAGTGTATTTTCCATTTACCAATATAAAGGGCAGAAGGGTGGAGAGGTAACTTGGATCAGCCACAACTTTCTTTGCTTTCTCATCAGCTTTTCAGTGCTCAGGGATGATTTCCTCATGCTTGTTAGTAGTGTGGTAAAAATCAAGGCAGATTCTTTCTAGAAAATAAAGGAGTCCTGGATTCCCAGAATGTTGAATGCTCACCTCTGGGGCTTCCATTTGTCTCATTAAGTGATTTGTGGATTAATTTTCAGTGGCTTATTTTTCTCTATAAAATTGTGCACTACTAAGTCGACAGGGATTCACCCCCACTGTATCTGTGTTGTGGAACATTAGGACCTCTCTATTTACCTTAATGCTAAATGAAAGCTAAAATGATGATGCACCTCTGAGGCACAAATAGACCCTGTTGTTTACAAAGTCCTCGAGTCTGAGTCTGTTTTACTGGATATCAGTGTACATGGATTTGAGCATATAAACCAATATTATTTATTTCAAAGTTAAGCTGCAGTAGCAGCAGCTGGCTTTAGACCTGACTGAAAATGTGTTTGATTGCAATCTCAACAAACAAATATAGTCTCTGCTCCAGAATTTACAATGTGTGTCTTTTTATCTCATGGAAAGTGTGAGCTCCATGGCTTGTTTAGTGCTTACTGATATGAATCACTGGAGGACTCTTGTTGCTGTAAAATAATAATAATAATAATAATAAATAAGCCCCACTCTAAGGAAGAAGAACTGCAAGGGCTTTAATAGGAAGACTGGATTCTAACAACACACTGCTCTTCAGCAGAAGGACATCAAGTAAATGTACTGTTGTGTTCTACAATGCTGCATAACTTCTATGCTATATAGGTTTTGTATTAACAAAGCTTAAAACTCCAAATTTGGTATGGAGGTTGCAGTTTACCTGCTAAAAATGCATTTTTAATCACCAGTCAGTTGCAGGTAAATGTATTGTTTGAGTTTCTAACCTATTTGAATAACAGCTGCATTTATGATTCAGTTCTTGTAACTGATGTCCCAGAATTGCAGCTGAGAAATGCTTCTCGTGGTGTCAGTCCATTCCAGAACTCGTATTCTTTTCCTTGCAGATGTTTGTATGTGTGGTCTATCCTTCATGGAAATGAACTGCAGATTGTGGTGAATGTTAAAACAGCTCCTTAGGTCTGTGCACGGAATGAAATGGCAGCTATGATATTTCATACAACGCAAAGATGCTTAAAATTTCACTGAAGTAGATGTGGCTGTGGGCTGCATTCCATGGAGAAGTCCCAGCACCATGGAAACAACTGACAAAACTATGGTTTCAGTGCAGGCAGAATTTAATACTGCCCTTTTTAAGGCAGGTTTTTCAGGAGTGCTCAGCACTGTCTTGCATCTTCCACCAAATCTGCTAGGCCTTGCTAGGAGCAAAGCTGAGCCAAGATAGTCTAGACTTTGTTTAAAATAGATAAAAGTCTTGCCATTTATCAGTATAATTATTCTAATGACTGAGCCCTTCAGGTTCCACAGAATTTCCTTATAGAGCAGTGTTACATTCGTCCATTATTGGCCTAATCCTGCCCTTCCTACTCAAAGTTAAGGTTGAGTGTTAAACCACCTGCATGTAAACTGTCACAATAGCTCTTGCATAAATAACCTCTGTGCATAGCCATTGTTTTCACTATGTCTCTCCACTCTGCAGGAGTTTGGGAAGGCACCCACTGCTCTCTGGGTATTCTGTGCTCCTTCCAGTTCTGTCAGTAGTGTTCTGAGGAGTTGTTCCTGCAACTTTTCTCATGCTGGTAAGCATCTTCATCCATTTGAATCCAAACATCTCGAAAGCAGGTGAAAGAGAAAATAATGAGCAGAGAAGAAGCTGAAAGATGTAGGAGGTCTGTTTGCAAGGCTTTTCTTTCAGGTGTTGCCAGATTAAAACAAAACAAAAAACGAAACAGAAAAGCAGTGCTTTATCCTGCTATCATTTGTGCCTGTTTGCAGTTGCTGTAGCCATGTGCTCTGTGAGAGGCTCTCCTGACTGAGACAGATGTAACAGAGGACAGTTAGGCTGGTGTATGTGTATGCACACACGAGGGGGGAGAGAGAGTCTTGTTATTCTTTCAGTTACTGAAATTGTATTTTTGGCAGCAATGTATTACTGCTCCAGCAGAGTTTAGCTTTGCCACCCTTTTTCTGAGTTTTCCCTTCTGGAAGAAGTGCCAAAGGATGCTCTGTGCTTTTACTCTTGGTGAGGTCCTGGTCAGTTTTGTGGCTGTGCTGATGCAAACAGCCCTTGTATGTGATCAGAACAAAAATGTGATTCTAATTTGAGAAAAGCTGATAGTAATGCTTATCTTGTATAAGGTTTGTTGGAACTGCTGCAGATTGAAATTGGTGTGAGTGGGAGAGCTGGGACTAATGAATATAAATTCTCAATTTATTCAAGTTGTCTAAACAAGAGTGCATAATTTATTACTTTGTTGCTTAAGGTGTAGGATACTGGCACGCTTTTTTATTCAGGGTCCTGCTTGCACCTTCTGCAGTTTAGCTTGACATTCTGTTGCAGTTGATTCAGCATCTTGACAAGCTCATTATTGTCACTGTTGGCACAACCCCTCAGATTTCCATTTTGTCTGAGTCTGTTTCACCTCAAGCTTGGGAGTTTCAGCATGTCCTGTTGATTCAGTTTCCAGACTCACCTGTGGAGACTCAATTGCATGCTGGTGATTTTCCTGCAGAGTGCAGTGAAGCATATGGCACAACATTCTGTTATGTTGAATCTAATCCAGCCTTTGTATCAAATTATTGCTCACCAAGTAATAAAAACAGTCAATTTCTAAGCCTGTTTCAAACTGAGGTACTAAGATTTTGCACCAAGCTATGACTACTTTATTGTGAAACATAGGGCTAGGAGAGCTTTCAAGAAGTCATCTTAAAAATCTATTTAAAATGGGGGTTATCTCTGTTAAACCAGGGCATGTTACCAGACTGTACTTAACTTCCAGTAATGGAGGCTTCATGATCTCCAGACCATCTTGTCCCAGGAGTGATTCCCCCTACAATAGAAAACTTACCAAGTGTTTACCTTAAATCTTGCTGCGGTTTTGGTGTATAACTTAATGTCATATTGCTACACCTGATTATTTCAGATTCTTCCTTCTTCTGATCTCTATCTAGTTTCAGCTCTAACTTGAAGCAGTTCAAGCTGAGTGCAAACCTGTAAGGAGAGGTGCAGCAGAAGAACAAACAAAGGTGCTCTGTGGGATTTGAAGCACAGAATCTACCCGGTGCAATGTGGGCAAGCAGGCATCAGGCCTGCATGCAGCACTCACATCTGTGGCACTGGTGCTTCTAGGGAAGGCCGTTTCCTCCAGTGCCACCTGCAGTTCATCCTGATCAGTCTTCAATCTTCTGCAGCTCGTGAACGCGGTGCCCTCTGATCCTCAGCTGATTGATTAGATCCTTAATTTCCTCCGGGGAAGAAAACGGATATTTCATGTGGTAGGTTTATTTCAGGACTGTGAACTGCCAAACAGGACTGCCAAACAGATTCTTTGAATAGGAATGGTGTGAAATGGCTCCATTCACTTCACATTAGCTGCCCTTTTTCTCACTGCTAAATATTATCCTGGATTTCTGAATGAGCCCTGCTGGCTCTATGTGATCATGGAGGCAGAAGAGTGAAGCCCATTAAATCACGAGACATTTTTTCCAGTTTTTAGCGTAGTCTTTTCCTCTCCTATTTTCAGATGGTTGCTCATACAAAATGAAAATAGGATTCCACATTGTCTCTATGCAACAGAATGAGGCACTTTGCCAGGTGATGTAGGCCAGAGTAAAGGGCTGGGGGAGATGGCCCAGGAAGTGCTGGGTCTCTGCCAGGGACTCCATCACCATTTTCTCTTGGCTGCAGGGACAGCAGATTCTAAATCTGCATCTTCTAAATATTGACAGTGTCATCTTTCAGCCTCTTGGAGGAGATCAATTTTTACAATTTACAGAATATTTTTATTTATTAAAAAAAAAAAGAAGCCAAGGCAGCTTGTCTCCCTGTATAGCAGGTAAGGGAGACTCAGGGAGTTCAAGTGACATCCTTGTAACTGATGCCTGGAGATGCCTCATTCAGTCATGTACACTGCTTCTGGGAAATATTCACTTCCACCTGTAGCTCTTCATATTTTCGTGTTGCCATTCTGCCAGCATCTTCTCAAAGGCTCTCTCCTTCTTCCAGAAGCAGCATTGGCCTGGAAAGATAAAGCCAAGCATTCAGTGGACACAAGTTTTCTTTACACTTCACTTCTCTGTGTCCTGCCAGCTAGTCGCAGTTAAATTGGCACCCACTGTAGTGACTGGCAGAGTTTCTCTTGGTTGCTCTGAATGGGTGATTAAAATGTTTACAAGGCTTTCTTTCCTCACCATTAGGAATTTAACAAGCTCCCCCAGTTCCCATCAGTGTGATGGTCCTCCTTGCTCCTGCTGTTATAATGATGCTGCTGTGGAGCACATGTTTTCCACTTCAGATATTCATGGTGCAGATGTGCTGTTAGTAATTGCCTGGGTTGATTAGTGTGACTTTCTGCTTCAAAGAAGATTCAGTTAGAAACAAGATGTTATTCAAGGCTATTCCAGACTGTTTAATGGCTTGTCATGAAGGGAACGAAGGAACATTTTTTCTTTCCTGGGAGCTTTTAATCACAAATATTCTACGTATTTTTATGATCAGTACATGCAGTCAGGTACCATGGTGATAAGCACGCCACGAACTGAAGAGTAAAGAACTGCTTCATTAAAGGCAGAGATGGTGAAACAACCCACTGGTATTGCAACGCTGGAGAGTTCAAAGCAGGATCTCATTATCCTTAAAAAGACGATGAATACCTTGCCTTGCTGCTGAGGAGGGCTTTTACTTCAGCTGCACTATTGTTTCTGGAAGACAGCTAATGAGTTTGAGGAGCATGCTGCGTGCTCCTAAGAATTAGCTGTGGCTCAGCTTTGCCTTTCTTCTCTTGGTCATACAGATTACAGTGACATTTGATAGAGAGTCTTAAAGTATTGAGAAATAAGGGATCAGCCCATAGCTGGCTCCTGGGGCTTCCACCACCAAGTCTTGCTGCTCAGGCTTGTGCTGGATGTGTTCTGGAATGGCTGAATTTCTTGCCTTTTCCAGATCAAGAGCGAAGTGCTTCACTTTGGTCTGAAGCCTCTGCTTAGAGCTGCCTGTGCAGACTTGGATTGATTCAGCTGTCTGCTTCGCTTCTTGGAACCTCCCAGCCAACTTTGTCCCAAAGGAATGGGGGCAGAAATAACCCAGTAGTCCGTGGAGTGAGGAGTTCTGGGAGTCAGCAGCAGTCATCTCCTTGAGCACTACTGCTATTTTCACCAGTAATCCTGAAAGCAATCTCAGAAAAGTGACTGTAAAATCATGACTAGGATGTGGCTGGCTCTTCCCCTCCCCAGATACAAACACTGTTCTGGACTGCAGCTCAGTTCCTCATTGCTGGGTTGTTACCTGGTGTTAGACCCTTCCACTTTCTGTTCAGGAATCTCCAGGACAGCGATAATGTCAGTGTAGCTCCACTCCTTGTGACTGACTATGGGACTAAGGCAGAGATAGAGCAGCTTATTTTGTCTCGACTTGTTTCAGGCACGTGGTTAAAGCCCTCCAGGTGCCTTAACTTCTCTTTCTGTTATGTGAAAGCACCTCTGTTAGCTCTGCTAGAAAGATACTGTTAAAAGACTGCCTTAACTTCTTGCCCATGTTACCAGATCTCAAGGAGCAGATTTCAAAGGGTTTTAATCTGATTCGGGTGCATTCTTTTTTTTCAGGAAATGCTAGTGGCTTTTGTAAGGCTGCTGGAAGAGTAAAGTTCCTGTTGGAGTAAGGAAAGGCTGTCCAACTTCAAGGCTTTACTGGAAAGGTGCAGCATTGGTTTTCTGTTGCCAGCATACAAGACTTAGGTCTCAGTAGTCCCTATTTATTATTGCAAATGTTCTTCTTGGTGGGAGTAATTCTCTTTTCTTTGTCTTACAAAAATGAGTCCTAACAGATCACATCTACAAACTGTGATCCAGCAGCCAAAATGAATAACAGAGTACCCTAAGTGTTCACCCTGAAAGCTGTGATTTCAGTACTGAGTTCAGAGACCAGACACCAAACTTCAATTTTGTTCTCTTCCTCCTCTTCCAACTGCTCTTTCATCACCTCTAAATGATTCCTGGTATTAGCCAGTCTTACCCCAGCAGCAGTACAGATGAATTTGATTGATGTGGATGAATGGTAATGGCTGCACTGTTCTCCTGTTGGAAGTATGAAGGCACTGACCTCAATCCCCCACGCTGCAGTGCTCCACTTGAGCAACTTAGTTCTGGACGAGCTAGAAACATTTCAGAATGTCTTCCTGGTCAGGAGCCAAGTGCCTGCTCTCCTTACCTGTTTGGCTGCTGGGTTGTTTTTTGTTTGTTCAGTTTTTTTTGCTTTACTGTAGTGAATTGAATTGAGCTCATATAACTGAAAGCAGAACTTGGCTTGTCATCATCACTGCTTTCTCTGAAAGTGTTTCAAAAGAATTACAACAGTAAACCCATTTTGTGATTGCTCTGAACGTGGAGAATTCTTGCCAGGCTTTTGATATGCAGGTGCAGCTCTAGAATTATTCTTTGGAGATAAGAAAAATTTCCAGGACAGGCATGTCAGACAGAGACATGAAATGCTGATACAGTTTGAGTCAGACATATGTGACCTATGCAAATAAACTGCAGTGCTATCCACTGAGCAGTGGACTGAGAATGAGGAGGTGTACACACCTCTGCTCTTTGCTTCTGGCTCATGAGAGGTTATCCTCCATAACTAAGATTAGCTGGTAACAACCCAGAGATTAAGATGAGGAAAACTTTCCCTTGTGACAGCTGAAAGAATAAAAGATTTGTTGAAGTGGACAGTGAGCAAAGAGCAGGCAGAACATATCCTACTCCAGCAGCAAGCTGTGAAGGTGCTTGGTGGTCCCCAGTACCCTTAACTTTTCATCTACTTGCCTCTTGGGGTCATATGCCTCATGTGGACAACCTAATTAATCTCCATCAGACCTTGTGCTCTGTGCTCAGCTGGCTGCTTTCAGCTGCAGGAGAAAAAGTGCACAGAGAGGCACTAATTCCAGCTGATTGAGGAAAGAAAAGAGAAGACTAGAAGGATTGGGCAGTATTGGTAAAGGAGGCAGAGCTGCCAGAGTTCTGTGGAACACGGGAAGAGGAGGATCAGAGGGCTGGTGATGTTGCAGCTATCAAGGAATTTACCTTGGAGCCTGATGGCATTCATTTCAGCTTGGCTTTTCTCCACCTCGACCAGCTGGGCTTTGGCTTCAGACAGGTTATCGTGAGCATAAGCAACAGAGTTCAACTGTTAGAATGGTTAGTCATAGGATGCTGAGTAAGGCTTGAAGTGCTACAGTATCCTCCCTCCCCTGCACACTCAGTTTATTCCCGTTGGTTGTAGGTATAATGAGATGACTGTAGCAGGCAGGGACAGTGCAAATTGTTCTGATCTATAGAGAGGAGAGATGTCTATTTCATTAGCTACTGTGGGCAGTGTTTGGCATCAGCCTTCAAGGGGCTGCTCTGCGGTATCAGCTGGCTTACATCTGCCTGGTGCTGTGGATCTTGGAGGTGCTTTATAAGAAAGGCTTCTGCAAGGCTTTTATTTAGCCTTCTAGGCTCTTTATCTGACTCATATCCATCTTTGGTGCTACTGTGCTACAGGGTTAGTATCTTTCAGAACAGTTAACCGTCTCCACACCTCATTGCTAAAACTCACAGTTGTTCTTTGGACTGAAGATCATGTATTTCCCTTGCAAAACAGCAGAAAATAGACTGAACAGTTCTGCTTTATTTTTTTTTTAACTGTCTGTGTCTGAATTGGCAACTTTCTAACAAACCTCTGACCAGCTTCTGCTCAACCTTAGAGGAATGGCAAAGCTCACAGCCGATTTGTGGAGCCTTGTGGCTTTCGTGTTTTTGTTGTTTTGGTTATTTATTTTTAACTCCTTCCAAGGTCCACAGCGTGAGGGGAAGATTGGGTCAGGTCTGCCCTGCTTAGGAGCCTAGAGAAGCTGCTGAAGAAACTTCTTTGGAGAGTCCCAGTGATGCCTCATTCTCTGAAGAAAGAAACAAGATGTTCAGGTGTAGCTGAAGGTATCTGGCCTGGGTGCAGCTCTTGTAACACTGATGTCTTTCCAAGGAGTCAAGATCCATAAGATCACGAGGCAGATCCCTTCCCTGGTTCTCCACCTAGTGGGAAAGAGGGAAAGAAATTCTTATTCCCTATGAGGAACCTATGAGTGCTTTAAGGAGCACTGCTACTTCTTGTCACTCCAGCTGTTTTCCTGTCTGCGTGAGGTGTCCAACACTGACCTAGCTCCTGATGTGGTTGAGAATTGGCTAGCTAGCATTTGTAGACTGAAATGGAAATGTTAGTTATTATTAAGTTATATTAGTCATTAGATTGCGTTCAGAGCGTTCTATTAAAATATTAACTTTTCGGATCTCAATTATCTTCAGGACTTCCCGTTGTTAAAAGATCAGATTATATATTTAACATCCGCATCCCGGCAATTTGCAGAGGATTTATTAGAGTGGATCTACCACCATAGAACTGGACCAGTGGGTGGGGTGGCCTGATGGGTGAAACACAGAGGGCTGCCAGCTCTCACCAGCCTGCTGCACCCTGGCTCTGCATAGGGCTGCCCCTATGGCTGCTTCTGAGGTTTCTGTGAAAGGAGCAGCGCTCCCAGTTCGTAGCACTAAGTCTGCATGGGCTGAAACTAGAGCTCGAGTGTCTGTCTTACAACTCTTCCATGGGGGGTTTTGTTTTTCATTAGCAGTTGAACGCCTTTAGGTCTTTTCAGAAGTAAAATCACCCTCCAGAGAAGCTCTTTGTTTCTTAGAAAGACACTGTTATCTGTGCTCTTACAGCATTCCTAGCTTCTATCTTTCCTTCCAGCCCTTCAGTATAAGGGCCTGGAGGGTGCAGCAGAAACACAGCAGTGTCTCTGACCGAGAGATGCAGGATAAACTTGCGTGGATACAAACAAGCCTCTGTTTCTTCACTCCCTCCTACGTGCTTGCCAGGTCTACAGGATTATTTTTTCCTGGGAAAGGGCTACAGCTGGGAATACTTAGCCAAGGAAACAGGAAAGGTGTGGCCATGTGTCTCAGTAGACAACTGGTATTATGTGCAGCATCAGTAGCTTGCTCTGTTGTGTTGGAATCTGGCAGTTGGGGAAATAATGAAGCTGATTTGGTTACTTGAGGGAAATAGGTGCTTGTTCATAGAAACAGCTGCAGACCCAGGTTTGTGGGTCATGATGTTGTTGTTGTAGAAATACTGAGGCTTTGATTAAGTATTCAGGCACTGAAATATGCCAGCTGAAAAACATTTGCTTTCAGAATGGCAGCACTTTGAGCTGTGCTCCCGTTTTTGGTTTTATTTACCACCTTCCCTTCTGTGGTGAGTGGAGCAGTACTTTGCAGGAGCTGCTATAGGGGGAGACAAAAAGGCCAAGTTCTACACAGGGAAAGACAGATCCTGTATCTCAACTGGTTCTGTTGATTAAAAGTGTAAAGAGAGATTGGCTCCAGAATCCATTTTATCAGAGTAGGTTTAAAAGGTCTGTGTTGTTCTTCTATGCACCTCAATCTTATCAAAAAGGTAAAGCTGCATGAGCAGGCTGCTGTGTGTTAAGGAAAGGAAAGTCACCTAACGTGTTGCCTCTCTGTAGCAAACTGGTTAATCTTTGTTCAGAGCGAAGCAGAACCTGGTGTCCTGTCTCTGGCCCTAGAATCTATTTACCCTTTGTTTGAGCTCTTTGTTGCCCCATCATCAGCTCGTCTGTAAGTAGAGGTGCTGGCACCCCGAGGAGCTGGATGGTCTGAAGCACAAACAGCAGCACTTCATGCTTTTGTTTCCATCTGCGTTTGACTTCCAATGGCTCTGCTCTAAAGCACAGGTAACCTGTACTCACTAAAAGCTTCCTGTTAGGATTTGTGTTAGCAAATCATGCCAGTATTTATTCATGGTTTTACATGTTGTGTTAGGCAACCAGGTAGATCAGCAGTTTGGATAATATAGAGCTGTAAATATGTATTCTGCAAGGCTTATTTCTATGGGGAGGTTTGTCAGAAGTGCTGGCAGACCCATCACAAAAGTAATTGATGATGACACTAAAATAAATTTAATTTGTGATAATATTCTGCATTTCTAAAGCAGTTTTTATCTGAGGATCATAAGGCCTTACATAAACAGAATCAGTTAATCCTCATCACTTCCCAGTGATCATACACGCTTTATACGTGGGTGACTGGAAGATGAGTGACAAATATCAGACAATGAGTCAGAGAAAAACTTGGGAACAGAACCATGTATTTCTGATTTGGTTTACCTGAGCAGCTGAACTGCACTTGTGCTTGTCATTGTGTTACTCCTGACAAGGCCAAGGCATGACTGTGGATTTTCCTTTGTGATTTCTAGTTCAGCAACTTTACAGGTGTAGCTGATGCTGTCAGAGCTGTGATGTAGCACAACTGCCCTCAGTAGGATTCTGTACCCTGGAGAATTCCCTTAAAGTTGCCACTTCTTTGCAGTGCCTGCCAAGATCAGTTTGGTTCCATCTCGTGGAGGTCATCAATTGTAATTTTGGGGTCATCTCTGCTTTATGACAACGCTTCTCTGCCTTACCATGGATGTTTTCTCATTCCCAGTTGCCCTCCAGCTAACTGAAAAGCGTGGAAACAATGTTATCAATGTTATCAATAACTCTGAAGCACACAAATCAGCAGTGGGTGTCAGAAGGGCCTGAAGTTTCAAAAGCAGACTGCATGGGACCATTGAAGAAACAGTCAGTTGTAAATACACCCCATGGGTGGTAAGTTTGCTGCAGTTCTTGGCAGTGTGGCTTACCACCTCTTCCTTCCCTTGCAATTTTCTAGGAGGGGAGATACCAAGGCTGGTGCATAGAGGTGGATTAGAAACCAACACTGTCCTTAACAAACTGAAAATGAACAGAAAAATACATTCATCTGAGATGCCTCCTGAAAGCAACGCGAGCTTTGAATGTGCATTTTCAATAGATCTCGGGGGACTCGGTCCAACACGGAGTGTTTCAGAAGAATCTAGCTCACTCTCAGCAATTCACATTGCTCTTTGGGCAGGGGTACAAATTGGCAGCACTTCCCTGTGCTGCCATAAGTTAATACCTAGAAAAACACAGCCGCCTTCCTGTTTGTGGAGCAAACTGTAGTCTCGCAGTATCTAAGCAAGCAGACAGTGATTTTTTTTCTTTCTCCCAGACTGGGAGAATGGGAGAGAGCAAAGAAAAATGGAGTCGTTATTTCTGCCCGATAAACTTCCTCCAAAGCTCTCCTTTCCTTTTGGAGTTGAGTGACTGAGTCATTCTGAGCAGAGAGATCTGAAGTCAGAGTTTGAACTCTGTGGTCTAATGCCTGCAGGCAGGAAAGCAAACATCACGCAAGTTCTAAGGATCACACAACCAGTTTGCAGCATCAGGACAAAATGTCAGTGGCAACGTCTATTACTTTAGAGAGAATCTGAGATTCAGTTAATAAATTCTAAAATCTGTGAGTTTGACATCCTGTGGATGTTAACGCTGACTTTAGGAAAAGCAGCAGGCAGCCACGTGGCTGCTGCAGTGCAGATTGAAAACTTCTCTAGTTACGTTAAATAAAAACCTGCTTTAGTGCAGGAGAGGGAGAAGCATTCCTCAGACTGGATGGAGAGGAGCTGTGTAGCTGTAGAGGAGGCATTTTGTAAGTAGACCTATCAGTATTGCCATGTAGCAGTGGGTGTAATTAATAAAGAGTTAATAAAGAGGTGTTGCTGTCTTTACGTAGAGGGATCTCTAGAAATTACTGTGAAATTAATATTACTGCCAGGGTAAAAATAAAAAAGTGAAGCATAGAATTAAATCCACCTCAGGTTGTGGATCAAATATTGGAAAACAATATCAGAAAGTGGAGAAATGAACTGAGTGAATCTGAGCATCCCAAAGGGTGCTCTGACAGGAGCTGTAATGGTTGTCAGGGCTCGTTTTTTGGAGAATGAGTAAGAAAGAACTTCTGTCGTGCCTCGTATCTGCTTTTCTTTCTCAGTTTTAGGTAAAGGTGGTCTCCAGCCCTTTTGAGCTGAGCTCGTCCTCCAACACCCCTTGGCACTGCTCAGGGCAGTGCTTCCATCACCAGGCTCTGGCTCAGTAGAACTGTCCATCTTTGCTCTCATCATTTGGCCCGGGCACAGCTCAGCACCCAGCAAGTTCTCTCATTCCTACTGAAGAGACGGGAATCCAGTGTTCATCCTGCATACCTGCTGCACCTTCTGCCTCTGGGAGCAGCAGGCCTCTATTTGCAAGAAGTGGATTTGCTGCTTTTGTGCAATTTATTAAAGATTTGGGGTTGGATTAAAGATTTATTAAAGATTTATTAAAGATTTGGGGGCTTGGAGATTCATGATCCTTGAGCTCCCTTCCAACCTCGGCCATTCGGTGATTCTGTGATTTCTTTAATAAAACTGTTGTTGTAATTGATCTGAATCTCCAGGTCACCCAATGTTAAGCCTCCAGCCTCCCAGTGTTAAGCACAAAGCAGTGAGTTTTGTTTAGATACACATACACACGTCTCCTTACCATAAGAACTCACTCTTTAACTAGTTGACACCTGATTTGCATTACTCCTAGCTGGGCATCAGTGGTTGACCAGAAAGAAAGCTCAGGACTCATGAGAGCAGCTCTGCTTCTTTAGCCATGGAGCCTCTCATTCTCCTGGTGTTCTAAGAACTTAACTGCATTTAAGGGAGTCAGGCTGCCTGTGAATCTTATGCATCATCCCCATATGCTCTTTTTGCTTTCCAAATGAGGCTCTTATGAAACCTGATGCTCTGCCTAACTCAGTGCTGAGCCTTTAACCATCCGCTGTTTGTAGCTGTCTGCATGCAGCTGGATGGTGAGGTCATTCTCCTGGGTGAGGATGCCTGTCAGCTCCTCTGCTCTTTGATGTGTTCTTCGCACCCCTGACTCTGTGGCATGATGTTACTTAGCTCTTCAATTGCAGTTCTTTCTGCTGGGCCACATTCAGCAAAGATTTCACCTGGAAGAAAGGAGTTCAAGCAGTGAAGTTCCTAAAAC